ATTAATTTTCCTTTGCATGTAAATTTTCATTTTTCCTGAGTTAATCTCAGAATTATCTCATTGGCTTTGGTTTTGAAAAGTTTTATTATCTATCTTGGTGTTTTCCTTTTGGGTTCTATCCTGTTTGTAGTTCATCCAGCTTCTTAAATGATTATCTTATCTTTTATAGGGACATTTTCTTCCAACAATTCTTGGACAATATTCTACATTTTTGTGTGTTTTTTGAACTCTTGCTGTTCTGGAATTCCTATCACACGTAAATTATTCCTCTTGATGTCCCATATAAATCTTAGGAATTCTCCAGATTTTTTGTTCTTTTTTAAGATTTTTCCTCTAGCAAATAACTTGAGAGATTTTTCTTTAAGGTCAATAAATTGACCTTCCTTTGCTTCAGTTCTATTTCTTTGCCCTTTCAGTATATTATCTATTTGTGAAGTCTTAGTGTTAAACTTCTGGTTTTATAATTGCTATTATTGTATGGTTTCCATTTTTTCATTTATTTTGTCAGTTTGTTTCCTGAATTATTTTATAGTTGTATCAATGCTTTCCTTTCATCTGCAGTTTTCCTGATAATTGCCTCAATCCATTGAAGGTGTCTAAATAGCATTCTTTTGAATTCCTTTTCAAGTAATTCTGATACTATTTCTGATACCATATTTTCTGACACTGTATTTGGTCCCTTGTTGGAGCATTCTCTTATTTCTTCATGTAAGCTGAAATCATTTGTTTTCTTCAAGACATTGTGGTGCCATATTTATATTTAATCAATAACTGTATATTTGTGTATTCTCAGTCACTCACCACCTGGTAGATGTGGTAAAGTGGAAGTGTGAATGCAGTATTCTGTTCATTATTGTGTAGTATAGTTTAAGGCAGGTTCACATGCCTCCAGAAGCTGGGGTAATATGCTTGCACCTGACCTCAGGCAGTGTGTAGACCAAAGCTCAGGGTTCCAGGATCACCATCTAGATCTGCTTCACTCAGTATCCCATGTCTTTGTTACAGAGGATCTGTCTACTCTACCATCTCACTTCATTATTCTTAAAAATTATTAATAAAGAAAAAGAATCAAGCATTTATATTGACATTCAAATAGTATTCAAATACTTGATGAAAATAAAAATTCTTAAAAAATAATTGCAATTGATAATTGTAAAAGGAGTGACAAAATTAGAATATAATCTATTGTTTATCCTAATTTCTGAGTTTTAAAACTCATTGAGTATATTTTTTATTTCTAGAATATTTTTGTTCTTTTTTAAAAATTGTATAGTTTTTAAACAAATAAAGTTTCTCTCTTGAGCTTTTTTATTCTTTTTTTTCTTCACAAGTTTAACGTAAGTTTTATAGTGTCTATTACATTCTTTGGTACAGCGGGTTAAACTTTGGGCTGCTAGCTGTAAGGTCAGCAATTCAAACCCAGCTGCTGTTTCATAGGAGAAAGATGAAGCTATCTGCTTCCTTAAAGATTTATAGTCTTAGAAACATGATGAAGCATTCTACTCTGCCCTTCAGGGCTGTCTAGGAGTCAGAATCGACTCAAGAGCTGTGTGGGTTTGGTTTGAGTTTGTTAGATTCTTTTATTATCTAAAGTTCTTGGTGGTCTAAATTTACCCTTTGGTGTGTCTACTCTTACATGTGTGATTTTAAATTGTGAGTACATCTTTCCTCTGTACTTTTATTTCTCTGACTTGTGTTCAGCCTAGATTTAGTATGTCCTTACAAGTAGGTTTTATTCTCTATTTCTGCCTGGTATACTCTGTATTACTGGCTCACAATAAATTTTGATGCTAAATTCTCTAATTGAGGTTTACAGAACTGGCAGACAGTAAAAACCAGAATCTCAAACAGTTATTTGATGGAGACTTCAGCCTAACATTCCCAAGAGAAGTTTTATGTATTTTTTCCTCCAAAAGCTTAGACAAAATAAAGAATCCTAACTGACTCCTTGGGTCAAAAACTTGGGCCACCGAGTTTCAAGAGCTCAAATCTTATCCATGATTCTGAGTTTCAACTCATATCTCACACAGGCCCATTATATTACAAGTCCAGGTACTACGAAGAGCAACAACATCACACCACGGCCCCTGTGCTTATTCCTTTGGTTTTTTTTCTTTATTATCACCTAAGAATTTTCTTTTCTTTTTTATGATGAAATTATATATATATATATTTTAAAGACGTGTTTTGTCTTGTTTTTACCTAGCTTTCCTAGTTGTTTACAAACTAAAAGTTTTTTAGGTTTTTTAATTTTCCGTTTTGCCAGAACAAAATGACTTATTAACAACTTACAATATGCAGATAGTACAACCTTGCTTGCTGAAAGCAAAGAACATATAAAATACATACTGATAAAAATCAAAGACAATAGCTTTGTATGGATTGTACCTCAATATAAATAAAACAAAAATCCTCACAACTGGACAAATAAATGACATCAGTATAAATGGAAAAAAGATGGAAGTTGCCAAAGACTTCATTTTGCCTGGATCCACAATCAACACGTATGGAAGCAGCAGTCAGGAAATCAAATGGCATGTTTCAATAGGCAAATATATTACACACACCTTTTTAAAGTGTACAAGAGCAAAAATATCAACTTGAGAACTAAGGCGTACCTGACTCAAACCATGATATTTTCAATAGCCTTGTATGCATGTAAAAGTTGGACAATGTATAAGGAAGACCATTTGAATTATGGTGTTGGAGAAGAATACAGAAAGTACCATGGACTGCCAGAACAAATCTGTGTTGTAAGAAGTACAGCCAGAAAGCTTCTTAGACACAAACACGGTGAGACTTTGTCTCTCATACTTCAGGCAAGTTATCAGGAGGGACCAGTCCCAGGAGAAGAGCATCATGCTTGATAAGGAGGAGGGTCAGTGAAAAAGAGGATGCCTCCCCAATGAGACAGATTGGCACAGTGGCGGCAGCAGTGAGCTCAGGTGTAACAATCATTGTGAGGATGGCACAGGACCAGCAGTGGTTTGTACTGTTGTGCACAGGGTCATTTTGAGTCGGAACTGACTCGACAGCACCAAACAATAACAACAGGAACTCTGGGAGGCTTGGCTAGCTGGTCTTGTGGAAACATAGTATTCTAGAACCTGGTCCACTCTTCCTGATGATAAAATGTTTTAACAGCAAGAGGTCCATAGTTTATACTTTCGAGAGATGAGAGTACCAAATCCTCAATGATCAGCTTCAAGCTGTGAATGAGTATGTTGACAGTTGCCTTGTGATATGTGTTCAGAGAATTGATACAAGAGCCCCAAACTCACAGCCTTTGAGTTGAATCCTACTCAGAGTGACCCTCTGTAAGATTTCTAATCTTTATGAGAGCAGACAGCCTCACCTTTTCCTGTGGAACAGTTGATAGGTTTGAACTGCCGATGTTGTGATTAGCAGCCCAACACCTAATGCACAGGACCAACATTTGAAGAAGAAAATGTCTTGCCCTGAACTGAAGGGATAAGCAAGATTCCATCATATCTCCACTCACACATGCCAAGGGAAGCCCACCATTTTTCAGTTTAGGGTCAAATTTCACTACCCTGTAAGACTATGAATCCAGCAATAGGTCAAAAGCACAAAGACCATGCTCTGAATGGCCTTCTATTCCCACTTTAGACTTGTCAACCTTGGTGCGCTCAGGTCCATGTTAAGAATTCTTTGAATGTTGACATTATTAACACCAAAAATTTGAAAAGAATGTAGATATCCTGAAGTGAAGAGGCCATATTCCCAGTTAAACTGCTCTGGAGATTGATGAAATCTAATGGAACCTTCCAGTGCACTAGGCCTCAAAGAAAGACTGAGGTATTGATTACAGCTTACATTTTGATTAACTGTCTTCCATACCAAGAGCCAAAACATTTTAGCTTTAGGATTAAGGAATTTGTGAATCAAGCCTGAATTAAGGGTTGAATTTCCTTCTTTCCATAAAGCTACAGTTTTGACAAAGTGTTTCCTAAATTTTCAGTTCTCACTAAGTTTTAGATTTTTAAACTTCTGGTTTGGGCATTTATACTAGTTGCATGCACATGTTTGTGTAAATATATTTTGTATGAGGACAAAAAATAAAGATGTTAGGGGCTTCTAGGTTTAAATTTGCTATTTTTGTCAGGTATTTTGTAAAAGTTGACAGAAAAACTTCACATTTCTACTGTGGTCATAGATGACTTTGGTCAATTCACAAGTATGTAGATAACCTGAACATGTGACAAGAACTCAGCCAGGGAAAAGAATAACTAGCACACAGTCATAACTATCCCATGTGCCCAGTCATCTCCCAGATATAGAAGTAAAGGAGAGTTCATTTTTGTCTTCCATAAATATCCCAAATTAGGGGGGGAATCAATTTTAAAATGGCCTAATGGAGAGTATCTTGAATGACTGCCTAGTAGCATGAATTCCTGAGTGTCTTACCAACTTAATCACCTCCTCTCTTTCTATAATACACGGTAATAAGATCTATCTAGTCACATTTGAAAAATTAGTTAAAGAAAAATGTTCTATGTTCTAACAGATTGTTTGCAAGCATGTAGGAAACAATCAAACAGATTGTTTGCAAACATGTTTGCAAGCATGTAGGAAAAGCATGTTTGCCTTCCCAAACAAGGACAACGTTGATACTCAGTACACTTGTAGAAAGTGGTTCCTGTACAAAGAAGGAAATAATGTTTGCAAATGAATACCTCAGACACCAAACACTTTGCTAACCAGATTTGCTCTGGGGAAAATAATGTACTGATGTGGGTGTAATGGGACATGCACTTCTACTCCATCAAGATTCTGTTTTTATGGATAATTCCACATATCTTTCAAAGATCTTTGCAAGTAGTCATATTCAGAAACATTATGTGAACATGGTTGAACGTCACATGCCTTGGTTAATGAGCAGCCTTCTTTTAAATTATCTTCTTGCTGGTCTCCCAAGCTTATTTTTGTTCTTGTCAGCCTCTCCAAATTTTCACACACAAAAACACCTCAATCCTAAAATGCCAATAAGCAGGAACAAGCTGGTTTTACTACTCGTAATCATCTGCTTGGAACAAGGAAAACCTGCAGCTCTGTCTCTCTCCAGAGGTAAGTTCCAAATGAACTTTCTAGTTGCCTATCCCTAAAGAAATAACCTTTGTTGGTAGAAACTAATATATTTAGAGATATAATTGTTTTTCATGTAATTTTGAACTTTTTTCTTTGCAAATAAGCACAGGAAGTAGGATTAAGTATTTGTGGAACACAACTAAGACATGATCTAGAGTAAACTGGGATTGATCACTTATTTGGACACATTACAGAGTCCCATTTTTTTTACTGAGCAAATTGTGGAAAAGGGTTTAGAAGCATTTTTAACCTTTTGGCAAATTATCTTTCTGAAAAATATAAACTATGTTCATTGTTGTTGTTGTTAAGTGCTGTTGAGTCGATTCCGACCCATAGCGACCCTGTATAGGGTTTCCAAGGAGAGCTGGTGAGCTTGAACCACTGATTTTGCAGTTCAAACAACTTTGAAGTCTGATGCATCAGCCCACATCACCATGCCAGAACTCCATGTTCATTGTTGTTGTTGTTAAGTACCGTGGAGTCGGTTCCAACTCATAGTGACCCTGCACAGGGGTTTCCGAGGCTGTAAATCTTTACAGGAGCAGAACACCTCAGCTTTCTCCCATGGAACTGCTGGTAGTTTCAAACTGTTGACCTTGAGGTTGGCAGCCCAACTCGTAACTGCTACATGTATCTTATATATTATCTTTCCTCAAGTAGCTTAAGCTGAGAATAGTTCTCAAGAGGCTTCTTGATGGTCATAATTATGCCAATCTCAAGAATCATGCTTTTTTTTTTTTTCCTGTATATGCTTCAGTAAATTCAGGAAATAGGAAATTTTGTTTCTAAAATATTTAAGACTCATTCAGTGAAAACAGAAATTAAACCTTTGCTCTATTTGTCATGTCTACATAGAGTTTAGAGAAAACAAAAATTTAAGTTAGGGTTATATTAATCAGCTGTGAATTTCTTTGATTCTCAGTTTTCTCATCTGTAATGTGGGAAGTGCTTACTTCACAGGTGTAATGTGAGGATTAAATGAGAGTTATATGAAAAGAACCTTGTATAGTTTAGCATATTAACCTAAATAACTATGCTTTCAAAAATGTTTTCAAAAAAGAGCATTTGGTCATCCATCTAACTTTTCTAATTGTCTACTGTACACCAAGAATTGTGTGAAACTTTAGAAATAGAGAGATGAATAAGGCATCAGACTGGGTTTTTTTCCTCCCCTCAAATAGTTCAGTAGTATAGTGAGGAAGGCAAACAAATTTGTTATCTCATACTGCAAGGCAAGAACTTGTCAAAGGACAAGGAAAGGGTGCTACACGCACAGAGGGGAGAGATTTAAAGCAGTTGGAGATCAAGGGAGATTTCACAGTTGAGGTGATTTCTAACTGAGGCACAAGGATTCAGCTAAGCAAAGAAGAGGAATGAGTATGAGGCAGGGCTTTCCTGAAAAGTATGTGGAGAAGGATGACCTGTATTATGGACAGAAAAGGTGCTATCTATGAATTGCCAGGCAGTCACATTTGTGATCTACACAATCCTTTAGGTGATGAACTGAAAAACACATTGAGAACAAACAAGCAAATGCAGATTTCTCAGAAATAAAGTCTCCTCCAGAAACAAGAAAAATTAATCTCTTCCAGTACTTGGCAACTCCTCTATTCTAACACCACTCCAGTGTGTAAATCAGGATGCTGTCTTCTCTTCACTCTCACCCAGCCTTAAAGGATCCATGTATTTCTCAAAGGGACACCTCCATAGATAGTTAAATTGAATAAAGATTTATTGATATCTGAGGATATTATAGGCATCACACACTATGGTCTCAAATCCAGTGTTGTAAGTGCAACCAAAGAGATGGACACACATTTATAATCTAATGCAGAACTGCAGTAATAATAGCAAATTAATTGAGCTAGTTCTGTGTATCAGGAACAATGACAAATATTGTGGATATAGATATTTCAAAGGTTCAACTCCTGTTGTTGAGGGACTCAATGCCCAGTTTGAAATAAAGACATAGAAATAACCATAAAGACAGGAGCAGTACAGAATACTGTGACCTCTAAAGGACTATATAGTTCAGAATCAAAAGGAAACTACAGTCCTGCTAACCCAGTGGGAAGCTACCTCTGTAGCTCTTGATGCTCATACCAAAAAAGCAAACCTCTTTATAATATTCATTTTCTACATAATAAATGTGTTTTCTGCCTTTGCCTCAGTAAATTTAGGAAATAGACATTTTTGTTTCTAAATTATTTAAGACTCATTCAATGAAATTCTACCTGCGCCATATCCTATAGTTTTTTTTCCTTGTTTAGAAGAGTTTTCTGTATCCTTAAGACTTAGGAGCTACCTAGCTACTCAAGTTTTGCCTTCTCTTTTCCCCCAGCTCCCAGCTGTGGGCAGAGTCTGGTTAAGCCACAATCTTGGAATCATTTGAACATTTTCAGTCGCATTGTTGGTGGAAGTCAAGTGGAAAAGGGTACCTACCCTTGGCAGGTGAGTCCCAGGGAGTGGACTGTGAGAATCGCATGCCATTCTTCAGTGTGCTCCTTCCTGCCTAACTTTTTATCAGAGATTTCAGAATCACTCCTCATAGATCTAGTTCCTTATGATGTGTATCAATCGAACTCCTGAAAAAGTATGTTCAGAATATTTATGTGTACTGTTGATTTGTTTCATTAATTCCAAATGTCATCCCAAACCTTCTATTGCTAAGACAAAAATTCCACTTCAAGGAGCTGAGAACAAAATTGAATTTAATATTTAAAAAAAATAATATTCTGATTCTATAAGTGTATTCAAAATATGTTTATTTTGTTTAGTTGAAGAAGGCAAGTCAAATGGGTCATATCCACAGGTCTAATTTGTATTGGGGGTGGAAGGTTTGTACCGATACCAGAGGAACTCACAGGAATAACCAAGAGAGCTTGTTCCTTAGTAACTGATATACTAAGAATTCTGCCTCTGTCTGATCTCCTAGTCCATCTATCCCATGGAAATGACTTTGTGCTTCAACTCCCAGTTCTTCGTGTTTCCCTTTATTTCTTTGAAACCCTACCAATTATCTTTACTGGGAGTCAGGTTACATTCTTGCCTCTTATTTTTATAAATAGAATAATTCTTTATTTTTTCTTCTCTTGAGTTAACTTTCAAGTCAATAAATACTTGGTAATGGTTGGGTGACTGAGCATGCAATCAGTTGGTGACCAATGAATGATCAAGTTAATGTCACATGATTAGTAGATTAAATTGAATAGTTGATTAATTATTTGGTTTCTTAGTCAACAGATTCGCTAGTCAAATCATAGTCAATACTGATTTATTGAATTCTACCTACTCACTCTTTTTTTTTTCAATCTCTTATTCTATTCCTTTCTTTGTATTGCATTTTGTTTTTCTATTATTCATTGAATAATACTGAGTTAAAGGGGACAATTTTAATAAATTACTTTCTTTTTTAATTTATTTGTACACCGTGAGTTATTTTAAATCAAATCAAATATGATGAACAGGATAAACAAAGATAGAAAATATGTTGATGAGGTAGATTAAGGGATAGACTTGATAAAGTTTTAAAAGTCAAATAGGTCAAATATTATAGGTCTATACTATTTCCTGGAGTCCTGGTGTGGTACTGTGGGTTAATGCATCAAACTGCAAAGCGATTTGAACTGCAAGGTCAGTAGTTCAAGCTCACCAGCTGCTCCTCGGAAGCCCTATATAGAGTCGCTTTGGGTCGGAATCGACTCAATGGCACTTAACAACAACATACTATTTCCTTGAAAGGCTGAGAGGAAATGGAACACATGTTTGAAGATTCCCTAGCCCTTAACTTTCTCCCAAAGACCTTCAGCTGTACTGATATATCTTCTATGTTTTAGGGTTTTTTTTTTCCCTTTCTTTGAAAATATTGTTTTTACATTGTTATAGCACCAGGTCCAAGTCAACAGTATTATGAAATTACATAAACAAATACCAACAGTATTGGCTGCTAACTATACTAAAACCCTTATAGTTAATCATCTCAAATTAACTACCTCTTCTCCAGGCCAAGGCTGGGAATGTTCTGATTCCATTACTGGTTTTTTCTATGAGGAAGTGGAGTGGGTTTTACCCTTTCACAGTCCAAGATTCCTGATGTTTATGAGTAAGATACCTGGGTCTTTTTTTCAGAATATGTGATACTTTCAAGTTTGGGGAATTTCAGGGCCTTCACCTGCTCCCATTTAAGGTGTTTGAAATTCAGGTATCTCTGAAGAGAAGGCAGAAGCATATTTGTGGTGGAACCATCATCTCTCCACAGTGGGTGATCACAGCTGCTCATTGTGTAGCAAACAGGTAAGGAAGGCCTGCCCCATGGATAAAGGTCAGTTCATTTTCCCTCTCCCTTATGTCAGTTGCAATAATAACTCTACTAAAACATGGTCCTATGTGGTGGATGCTATGACTGAATATTGCTTTAGTGGGGGACCATTCTAACTGCAAAACACAAATAGGACTCAGGGACATTTTTAGAGAGTACTCAACTCATACATTCTTTGCAGGAGTATAATCATTTGTTTGCTTAAATACAACTGCAAGTTTATAAAGAATAATTGTTGCCCATTATCCAAGTGAGAAAGACAAAGGCATCACAAACAAGATTTGTCAAAGTTTTCTCCTAATTTCCAAAATTTCAGTAAAAAACTTTATCCAATTCATAATGCATCTTAAGAAATGAAATAAATAAACCAAGGGGTGGCCAATAAAACATGCCATTTTTCCTATTGGTCTTGCCTCTCAGCCTTCATCCCAAAACTCTCATCCTTTATCCACTTTCTTGTGTTCTCCAAGTGTTCTATTATTTTGAATGTTCCTGGTACACACTAGACTGCAGTCAATATCCTATCCCAATATTTGTCCACTTTCATTTCAATTTTGCAAACATTTCCTGAATGCTTACTTGGTGCAGGTACCAAAGAGACAAAGTTGATGCTGCATGATTCCTGCCTCCAGAGAGTTGATTGTCTAAAGAAAAGTCAACAGATAAATTCATTGCAATGCGGCAAGTGGCTGACTAGAGATACATACACAGTGTACTATGTCAAGCCCAAACCAAGACAACTGCCATTGAGTCCATTCTGACACAGCACCCCTATGTAGCATTTCTGAGACTATAAATCTTTACAGGAGCAGACAACTTCCTCTTTCTCCCACAGAGCCTCTTGTGGGCTTGAACTGCTGACTTTGTTAGCAGTCCAATGCTTATCCTACAGTGACACCAGGGTTGATATGTTTGGTACTTACTATGACCAAGAGTCAGGAAATTTTACCAAGATATAAATTTGTACAAAAGAATCACTTACTATTTGTAAATGAATATTTACCTTTGCTGCAAACACACGTATGAATGTAGTAGAGCATAAAGCATACAAATGATAAAACTTTCTAGATAGTATAAAACATCTTAAGGGAATGAGTTGCTGGACCTTGGGGCTCAAGAACATAGTCTCAGTTACACATCATGGTCAAATGGCATAACATAGTTCACAAAGACAATGTTCGACATCCTATTTTGATGAGTAGCGTCTGGGATCTGAAAACCTCATAAGCAGCCATCTAAGGTGTACAAAGTATGAATCTTGGAAAATTGGAAATTGTCAAAAATGAAATGGAATGCTTAAACATCAATATCTTAGGCATTAGTGAGCTGAAATGGACTGCTATTGGCCATTTTAAATCTGATGACCATATCAGATTTAATATGCCGGAAATGACGAATCAGGTTTACTATGCCGGAAATGATGAATTGAAGAGGAATGGTGTTGCATTCACTGTCAAAAAAAAACACATATCCAGATCAGTCATGAAGTACAACGCTGTCTGTGATAGAATAATATCTGTATGCCTACAGGGAAGACTAGTTAATACCACTATTATACAAATTTACGCATCAACCACTAAAACCAGTGACTATGAAATAGAAGAATTCTACCAACTTCTTCAATCTGAAATTGATCAAACATGCAATCAAGATGTATGGATCATTACTGGTGATTGGAATGCAAAGGTTGGGAGCAAAGAGGAAGGTTCTGCTGGAGAATGCATGATAGAATTCTGCAAAACCTATGCAGAATGATTTGTTCATTTCAAATATCTTCATTAGACAGCATAAGAGATGACTATATACATGGACCTCACCAGATGGAATACATAGAAATCAAATTGACTACATCTGCTGAAAGAGACAATGAAAAATCTCCATATCATCAGTCAAAACAAGGTCAGGGGCAGACTGTGGAACAGACCATCAATTACTCATAAGCAAATTCAAACTAAAGTTGAAGAAAATGAAAACAAGTCCACGAGAGCCAAAATAAGACCTTAAATATATCCCACCTGAATTTAGAGATCATCTGAAAAACAGATTTGATACTAAAGACTGAAGACCAGAAGAGTTGGGGGATGACATCAAGA